GGGTCAGATTGCTCTGGAGACGCTCACCTGTATCTGACACTACTGGTATCGCGAGGCTGCCATTAATGTCCAAATTTCAATAAAAACAGAAATAGAATACAGATAAAGGTAACACACCATCCAGCTTCACACCCGGACACATAATTACCCCAATGGGCTGTGGTGAGGGATCATATCCTAGCACACAGCGGGAGGTCAGCGGCGATAAGCTTCAGCCCAGCTCCCAACATGGAGCATAATTACTCTATTGATAATTCACCAGGAAAATGGTCCCAACCAATTGCAGAGCTCCGATATAATGGATTGGACGATGAAACGAGGGACGGATGGAGGAAGGAGGCTGTGAGGGGGCGTGTGTGTGGGTGGGTTACACGTGGGGGCACCCTGCAAGGGCCTTTTATTAGAAATGAAAATATGTTTAGGTCATAGGGGGACCCATTTTCCATGGAGATAATAAAGCCAATAAAATGTAAAGCAGGGGAAGAGTTTGGAATAGGGTCCAACTGTGGCTGTTTATCTGTGTGTGTCCTGCATTAGCCCATTTATTCCTTGCCTCAAATTAGCTAATCATTCTCCAAGGGGAAAGACTTGGTCAGAAAATTGACATTTAGCAGCACAGGCTCAGTCTATTAACTACAATAAATTTAATTTGCTGCACACCCCAGAAGTGGACTTTCTTTGCCATCAGAGGGAGAAACTGAACGGAGACAGAGGGGTAAAGAAATTGAGTTTATTGCATCTTCTGCCCCTGGCCACAATTTGCTTTCCTGTTACTAGAGGCCAGTGACCCCCATCTCCCTTCCTGGAGGGCCTGTATCCAGCTTGTTTTAGTTGTTTTCCTAATCCAACACACTTGATTCACCTGTTCAGCAGCTCACCAAGCTCTGCAAGAGCCTGTTAATCACCTGCTGATTAAAATTGTGTATGTTTAAACAGGTAAACCGTTAAACATGCTGGATCCCGGCCCTCGGGGAAAGGAGTTGAGGATCGCTGCTATAGCTCATAGACTTGGACCACTGCATCACTTTTTCTTCATCTACTGCTGATTACAGGCATATGACGGCATCGTAAATACATAGATTTGTTCCGTCTGAGGTCTGTTTGGGCCATTGATGGATTGTCTTGCCTGAAAGTTCAGTAATTCCAAAATGTCAGTGTTTTATCTTTTTTTTTTTTTTACTTACTGCAAGTGATTCTCTATTTTGGAGAAACTTTCATACCCCGTTATTGTTGTAGATTTATATATAAATATAATTTGAAGTGGTTGCTTCAGTTTGAGACAGAATCTCACCAGATACACTTTTCTGCAGCTACCAACATAACATAACCAATAGTTTAACTAAACTAGTTTGTAAATTATTTTGTCTGCTGTATAGAGAAATTATTGAATGGGCAGTGTGGAGGAGCTTTAACAGAATGGCTCTCCTATGTTTCCTACATCACAGGAATGGGATTGAGGAACTAAAGAAGTGCTGCTGTGGTGAGCATCAAATAGATGTTGGGCATTTGTGTACATTGCGGATTCAAGCTGAAATCATAACGGGGCCTTTTCTTGGACCTTGCTTTGCATAAAAGTGTAATTCCATAGACAAACTTCTGTCAGAATTTAATTCAGTAATCATTTTAGTCTTTTAAATGATGCATATCACGATTTTCTTGTATAAAACGGCTTGTAGAGATGTTGTCTTAACAGCTTGTGTGTAACTCTGTCTTTAGCCAAAGGGCTTCAAACAACCACTTTCGTGTTATTGCATAATTTTAGGCCACAGCATTGCATTTATAACTTCAGTACAAGTACAGTTGTCGCTGTGATGAGTAAAGACCAAAAACTATATTTGTCAAAGGATGTAAAGATGTAGCCTCATCCTTTCAGTTGAACATCTTAATACCTGTTTCCTCTTTGAGGAGGCCTTAGTGATGATTCAGAAAAATACACTTTCCATAACTAACTGCTTATTTGTGACCTTGTTTTCAAATTACATTTGAGTTGTGCAAAGTTAACATTAATATTTGTTCGGGCACTGGTTCCCAATTAAGCTTGGTTTATGCTTGACGCATGTACATGGAACGAGGAAGTGAGACGCGCGGACAGATTGCTCGATGAAACTTGGAACGTTTATGGTTCCTTCCTACCTCCTGGGGCTTGTCTCTGCTGTGAGCCAATATTCTCCCAGACTGTAGGGGGCGGCATGGGGCTGTATGGCATGCATCCAACACTCCACCATAGTAGAAGTATAAATCATTGTTGTTTACAACATTTTTCACTGTGTCCTCATCTTTTCCGACTGTGACAGCAATTGTTAACAATATTTTGATCATCTTTATGGGCCGAAGCATAAAGATGTCTGTACCTCCACCACTACGAGCTCTTGCCAGTCCGCCATGTTTTTCTGCACAGGACCGTCCGCTTGGTTAGAAAATTTCCTAGGTTCGCGGTGCGGAAACTTTGGGCTCCACGGAGGGGCGTGGTTGCTAAAATTATGTAATTTGGCCCTGCGAACCTCACGACGCGTCAAGAATAAACCAAGCTTACGAACTGTTGCCAGTCCGCCATGTTTTTCTGCGCAGTAACGTCCACGTGGTTAGAAAATTTCCTAGGTGCGCGGTGCGGAGACTTTGGGTCACGCAGAGACCACCTGGAGGGGCGTGGTTGCTAAAATTACGTAATTTAGCCGCTCAGAGCTGTGTGGACCTCGCCGACATGTCAGGCATAAACCAGGCTTTAGTGGGGCGTGTCCCCCCAGGGGTGAGGGTGAGGGGCGCAAGAAGCAGGAGAATCCTTTCTTTTTTTAAGCATTTTTTTCATCCTGGAATGCAAAACCACCCCAGTTACTAGGTGGTAGCACCTCTCGGACTAATCAACAGGCTGCCATTTTAACCCAGCAGAAGAAAAGCATATAAACACGCTCTCTCTCTCTCTCTCACACACACACACACACAAACAGGACACAATGTGAGATAGTAAACAACTGACGTGCCAGCTGTTGACAGAAAAAAGACAAGAAAATCATACGAAGTCTTCATAACCTGTGGATTAACTTTGAATGTGGTCAGAAATTATGGAAACCCCCAGTAAAGTCTGGTTCAGTCCATCATAACATGACCTGTTTTTGAATGACCACAGCTCTACAGTAATAATAAATAACAGCAGAGGTGTGGAAGTTGCAACTATTGCAGATGCACCTGGGTCTGCTTGTAAAACACCAAATAAACCCGTTGTTATTTTTAACCACAATTAGAATGGTGGATAGCTAACTGTATGCTAAGCCCTGATCTGAATCAGAATCATTTTATTGTCAAGGAAGTAAGCAGTTTCACATTAACAGGAATTTGCTTCAGTGGAAAGGTGCCCTCATGCAAATGTAAGCAAGTTGAATAATAAGATAAGAATATTAACAAATAATAAGACATGATGCATTTGTTAGCTCAAAATAAACACATAGTTGGGGCGCCCACAATCTTTCACCTTGTGAGTCACTTGTACAGTGAGGAGCCAAGGGTGATCAGCAGGTGTGTGTGTGCACGTATGTAACTGTGTGTAGCTGCCAAGGGGTGGGGGGGCGCGCAAAAAATTATGTTGCCTGAGGGGGGTGTGATGGAAAATAATTGGGAACCACTTGTTAGGGGTATATATCGGCAAGAATTGGGCAAGACGATATATTGTGATACTAAAAGCCAGATATTTGCTCATTTTAAGCCAGACTCTTCCAAGACACATCCAGTGTTATCCTAAGATCTTGTTTCATCACAATGAAGGTGGTAAAAACTGCTGCCAGCAGTCAGTTTGAAATGCAACACAAAAGAAATACAGCATAAATGATTGATTTATGTGGTTTGTACATTTGTACATTGCATGTGGAACCAATAGAGTTTATTCTCTCTGTTCTTCCTTTTCGCTGAGGTTCCCTAGCAGAGAGATCTTAACACGGAGCAGTGACTCTCCAGTGATCTGGATCGCCCGAGCCTAATTGATTGCAACAGTTGTCGGAGTGTTGTCTGTTAGGTTGGTGACAGGTGTCTGAAGAAAATGATTAGTTTTCTGTTGGGAGAGAGACAGCTCTGGATGTCCCAAACTGCAAACTAATAAAGGGGGGAAAGCAATAAAGCTGGTGGACAGCAGGTTTGACTGTTTTTATAGACAAATCAATAAAATGATAGATGATGGAAAATAACGGCATCTCAGCTGCCGATTTCTTCTGGGGCTACAAATCATGTACCCCCCTCTTCGCCTCACACATATACACACACATACCACTTGACTGTCACACACATGATCCCGTCCTGCATGTGTGTATTATGTGTTGTGACACATAAATAGATTTATTAAGATGGGCCAAGAACACAGAATTTTTCACTTTGAATTAACTTTTTGTCGGTGTTTAAATCAAAGTGCTAATTTTTGTGTGCCGTAGCTAACAGAGTGAATCTTCCTCTGTAAATCTCTCCGAGACCAGAGGGGCAGTGTCAGGATCAATACAGAGGACAGGTCTTCCTCTGAGCCAGCCTCTAATTGGCTCAATTTCTACTGTGTGTGTGTGTGTGTGTGTGTGTTTTTTATGGTGCATTGGTTTGTATATAACTATTATTACACCCATCCAATGAAAAATGAATTTTTTCCGCTCTTGGGAAATTTGATCACAGTGAGTTTCATTTTGTGGTGTTAAGGATGCAAACATTAAATTGTTTTTATTGTCGTAATGTGTTGTAACAATTTTATGCAAAGTTAGTTTTATTTTGTGCTGAATTACTCAAAATCTAGGTCTGTCTCTTATAGAATTTTATGGGAATATTGCATGTCCTGCACAGCGTGTGTTCATAAATGTCTTAGCCATTTTCCCCAGTAGTTTTGGGTAAAATAGACAGTAAAAACCTCAAGCAGAAACTCGATTATGCAAACACGAATGTCTAAATAACGTATTGCAGTTTGTATTTACGTAACAAAAAGATGTTGAGTGATAAATAAGTTGTAAAACCTTTTTTTCGTCCTTCACTTCTTTTAGGTCTCATTCTCGCCACCGAAGGTCTCGCAGTCGGAGTGGCAGCCGTAGCCATCGGGCAAGCCGCAGCCACAAAAGGAGCCGGAGTCACAGCAGAGAGCGGGACAGGAGCCGCCGTAAGGGCCGCGATCGAGAGAGGGACAAAGACAAGGAGAGAGACAGACGACGAGACAGAGATAAGGACAGAAGTAAAGACAGGGCAGAGAAGAAGGGGTAAATGATACCATTATGACCGGCATCAGTTCTAACAATCATATCACGGAGGAACTGAATATGTTGATTGGTGTTATAAAAATACAAATATGGAGCCTAGTGTCACTTTCTCGATCCACCCATCCATCACTCAGACCTCCCATCCATCACTCCATCTTCACCTTTGTCTTGTATTGGCCCAGTAATGCCATATAAGTCCCTGCTGTAACAGAAAACTTCCTAATGTGATACAAATAGGTGATCGGTTGTTGTGCGGCACAGGTTTGGTTTGTTGAAAAGGTTTTGGTCACCAGATGATGCCTGATTTATCTTCTCCCTCTGGAATCTGTTGCAATAAGTCTGGAAACATAACAAGATCACATGCACCTCTGGTGTTTTTGTTGCTCATGCCATGAAAAAAGGCATGTGAGAAGTTGGCTTTCTCATTTGGAAGTTTGCTGCTGTGTGACGGCTGTTATACAGACTAGGATCAGGTTTGGGGCAGTGGCTGCGTTAACAGTAGTACCTTAGTGGCAGAGAGCCTCATTCTTAGTCCCTTTTTCCCAGGACATCATTCTCTAATGTGATGGGAGGCTACTGTAATATTACTACTACCCAGTAGTTTGTCACTTTGAATGTCACATGTGTACCTATCAACCCACAGATGGGGCAGCATGTTATTTTAAAACTTGAGTTCTCACATAATGTGAACTCACGCTTCGCTGCATCAGTCTGTGCTTTTCTTGCAAAGATTATTTAAAAAGTGTAATAAAATGAATATTAAAAAAGATTATTAAAAAGTTTAAGGTTAGGGATGTCCAGCATTATTGGCCTGCAGTTTATATTGGGCGATACTGGCATTAATCATATTATATCGGAAAATATCGGTATCGGTTTTATTCATTTAATGACCAAACTTTGTCATACTATGCACATATTATACATCAAACTCTTCAGCTTCATGTCCTCTCTCACAAAATCCCATAATATCTGAGGCATTTTAGTTAAGTTTCGCACAACTTGTGAATAAGTAGGAATTTGTCCTGAGAGGATCTGCTGTCCTAATGCCACATAGCTATGTATAGCTAGAAAGCTAGCAAACAACTAAAACAAAACAGAATCTTCACCCAAGGCTTGCTTTTCTTAACTGGTTACATAATAATAAATGATTAGTCACCTAAACTGCAATATACAGAAAAAAATAACTAATACACACATGTTAGCCTCATGCTTAGCAGATAGCCTAGCTCAACATTTGTACACTGCTCACATTTGATCAACACAGTAACTTCAACACATACCCGAATATTTCCTAAACGCATCGATGGCTACAAAAACAAATGTTCTCCAAGGCACAAATGTGTAAAACACATTCGGCATTTTCATGAGTTGTTTATTCTCTTGTTTCTGCCTAAATGTAAACAACAGGAACGGAAACAAACATGTCAACGATAAGTCTGAGGACGCTCACTCAGTTTCTGCACAGATGATACAACAAAGATTATTTGTAACACAGATGTTTCAATTTGATCCATTAAAAAACATTTAAACCTTTTTAATATGAATTTAGTTGTACTAATAATTAATTTATTAATATGACTTAAGCCCACCATGAACTTAATAATTATTTTTGGTCTAAAGGCACCACAAAGCATTTGTCAGGATTATTTTAGGGAGAATGGGATTCAGCTGCTGTTGGAGACAAATTAAACTTGACATTTTTTTCCTCTTACTAACTTAAATTGAAGTAGTTTATATTTTGCATGGAGAATGTTTAATGCTTAAGTGTGCATGATAGGAGAAATGTGATGTTAGAAATCTAAATGATTTAGATTTTCTTTTTTATTGGGGCAGACAACGCATATATTTGTACTGGTTTATATAGAATAGAATAGAATAGAATGATCCCACAGTGGGGAAATTCACTTGTTACAGCAGCAGCAACACTTAGAGCACAATTTGAAGAAAAATAATAAAAATGCACTTATATACACATATGCAGTAAGCTATTATTGTAACCTTCGTCCACTAAAAACCACAAATAAAGCAATAAAACTTGGGTTCCATAACTATGTAACACACTTATTGGTATCAGAAATTAGGAGTTAGACGATATTGGATATCGGTAAAAAGCCAATATCGAGCATCTCTAGGTGAAGGACTGAAAGTTAATTGATAAAAATCAAAATGGTCAGTCTAGACTTCTTTCAGTTTGTAAATGTGACAAATTAAAATATGGGATCCATCCTGTGCATCTCTGGATAATAATAATAATAGACTTCTTGTGGGAGAGCAAGTGACAGGCGAATTAATTACCCAAAGAGTCAATAAATAACATTCATGCTTAGCGTTTAAAGTGTAAAATGACTAAGATCAAGTTGTCATTTCTGTTGTTATGGAATTTAGAAATATGATTCCAGCTATAGATTGTAGTCCTAATATCTAAATTACAAACAATTATCAGTTTGGCATCTTTGATTTATCATCTGCCAAAAAATAAAAGAATAATTTTCCCTGAACAAACAAATGGAGCCCGAGGATTTTCTTTTAAAGGAAAAGTGTTCAATTTATTTTAAGTTATTGCCTTTTCTTAGATCTCTATCAGCAAAACAAATAAAGCTAAGAGTGAAATGTAAGGCCAGCAGACTATATCTATTTTCTTATTAGGGCTTCAATATCCTTTAGCATTGATAGAAATCTTCATCTTTATCTCTGACCCTGCTTTAGTTGGTCTGTGTGTGTGTTTTTGTCCGTTGGGGTGTGTGTGTGTGTGTGTGTTTGCATCTTCTGCTCTGGCAGTGTGAATATATTTCTGTCGGTGCGGCTGCCTTGCTTTTCATTAACCCTAAACTGATGATGATAAAACTATGTAGCTCACTTTCATGGAGTAACTTTTGTCCATCCATATCAGCCTTGAATGTAACAGCAAGCTCTTTATTTTATCAGAACATGGAAGATTTAACAAACATAATTTGGTTTTAAACTTAATACCTTGTGCTGGTGTAGACTTCCTCTTTTAGTTATTTTTTTCATGGTTCTTGCTGTCTTAAAGGGATCCTTTGCGACTTTTCCAAAATTTTAAATAATTTTCTTGACCCAGTATGAGTTAAAATGACCCTTTACAGGGTTAATGAAAGGCCATCCAGCCCCAGCCCCCATCGCTCCCTGCGGCCAGAATATTCCACTTGCAACTTCAGACTGTTGGGACTGGTGCTGGAGTCTGGTTCCAGCACGTTTCCTGCATGTTTTAGAACATGAACACTGCTGATTATTATTCATTTTTTGTGTGCTGAATCACTCCTGTAGACATTAAGGAAGCCTGGGGAGGCATTTCAGCTGCTAGATTAAGGCGTTACAAAGACAAACGCACAGCGAGGAGATTTTGCTTTTAGTTCTACTTACGGACACTAGGGGTGCTAAAAGCAAGCCAAAACTGCCTCGTTCCTCTTGAATGGTGTTGGGAAGGTCTACATGATCTCCTAATCTCTCTACCGCCCCCCCCCCCCCCCCTCCCCACCCCCACCGCCACCACACACACACACATACACACATTCTCGTCTAGCATTGGTTTTGAGGACCGTCGTTGACTTCCATTCATTTTCGTGACTGGATTGTGCCTAACTCTAACGAGTCTTTTCCTAACCCTAACTAAAACTTAATTCACACCAAACTTCTAAAACTAACAAGTAGAGCTCTGTAACATTTTACCAAAGTGAGGATCAGCAAAATGTCCTCGCCTTGGCACAAATGTCCTCAGTTTGCAGGTAAAAAGCTTGTTGTTGATCCTCATGTATAGATAAGTAAGCACACACACACACACACACACACACACACACACACACACACACACACACACACACACACACACACACACACACACACACACACACACACACACACACACACGTTCATTTACAGGGTGAAGGCAGTGCAATGGTGATGGCAGGGCAGGGGGAAGCGAGGCTCTGGAGCTTTATAGTGTCTGTCAGGATGAAAGAGGGGCCCCTCAGAGCGGCACCCTGACACCGACTCTATGTGTGCACATGTGTTTGGTGTTGTTGTCATTAAACATTTAAGACTCCTCTAGTATGACAGCAGGCAACTTGGTGCTCCAGCGGCATGCTTCCATGCAAAATTTATTGAAAAAGACGAGCTGTTGTTAAGAGATCTTGTTGCCTTTCACTTGTGGCAAAGGGTAAGTGGGTGATTGTAGGGTTTGGGGTGAGTGTGTGTGTGTGTGTGTGTGTGTGTGTGTGTGTGATTTTGTCAGGCCTGTGAACAAGGTCAATAGATCTGCTCTGTTCTACATAATGAGATTTTTACAGATTGGAGCCATTTTGTCATTTTATTTTCAATAATTCTGACATTAAATTAGAAAAATCCCAACATTTTTCTGTTATTGCTCTCTAAATAGTTCTAAATACAGTAGATTTGTTTGTAGATTTGGGAAAAAAACAGATAGGCTTCCTTCCATATTATATTAGCACCACTCTTTCTTTTTCTTCACATATGCAACCCCTTCTCCTTCTACAACACTTCATTAAATAATCTGTGGTTTCAAGAGAAGTGTCCCTCTTTTCCTTGGGGCAGTGTCAGTGTCCTCCCTCTGTGACACCTCGTTGAGAACGAGGAAGAACGTGATCGTGCTATCTCACTTCACATCCTCAATCAGCGAGGTCTGTCCAATTAGGCTGAACTAGTCTGTTATGGGTCACGGCAGTGCGTTGCTCCATCTTACACATCTTAATGTCAGCTGAGGAAGAAATGGGCGCAGGGTGGGAAGTGGAGACCTTTTTTGCAGCAAAGACCCCCCAATGTTTCCACATGTAAAACTGGGGCTGGTATAATGAGCTTAAGGTTAAGGAGATTTAATAGCAGCCTATCTTTCATTACAGCCTCTATTTGATGTTCTTGTCTTAGAAGGAATAGTTTTGTTTCTCTTCTTCTACCTGAAGGAAGCTGCCGTTTTTCAAACTTTCCTAATTTTGCTAAAATAAGAATTAAAGTTTTCATATATTTAA